AGCACAAGACAATCGTTGCACCTACTTTAAAAAAAATGTATCCCTTTTCCTCGACGCTTCTGTCCATCGTCTATTAAAGCGAGGAATAAGATTTGTTTGAATATCATTGATAATAAACATGTCGTCTTTAGAAACATTATATTTGCTTTTAAAACTGTTGATAGAGCTTCAAGTTTTCCTCCTTCAATGTATGAAAGTAATAATTCACGATTAGAATACTCGAAAGTAGTAGACATTTTGAAATTCGGCGAAAAGCAACCATGCTTAAATATTATCTCAGTGTATGCACCACAAACCGGCTGCCCTGAAACAGAAAAACACGAATTCTGGGAGGAACTGTACACGCATATGAGATCAATTCCAGCATCAGAGCAGAAGCTTATATGTGGCGACTTGAATGGCCATGTGGGCGCAGATAAGCGTGGTTTCGAAGCACATCATGGCGGTTTCGGCTTTGGAAATCAAAATAACGAAGGAGCAACCATATTAGAGTTTACTGCTGCGCAAAATTTGGCAATAGTAAATACATTTTTCAAAAAGAAAGACGAACACCTCATTACATACAAGAGTGGAACTGCAAAAACCCAAATAGATTATATCCTAACTGATAAACGGGACCTGAAACAAATAAGGGATTGTAAAGTAATTCCAGGAGAACCTCTAACATCACAGCACAGACTTTTGCTGGCGGCCATGAAACTTAAAATGCCAATCAAGCAACATAAAACTAAAGTGACAAAAATCAAATGGTGCAATCTTTCCTCTGATAAAGGAAACGACCTTATACACAAAATCAGGAATTACTTTTGCGAAAACCGCCTTCAGAATGACTCCTCAAATATAACATGGGCTAAATTTGAAGATTTCTGCCTTGCAAGCGCTAGATGTGCTTTAGGAATCAGCAAAGGACCTCTTGGCAATAACAAAAACATTAAATGGTGGAACAACCTCACCAAAGAATCTGTAGCCGAAAAGAAACGCCTGTTCAAAGTTTGGCAAGAAACACGCTCGGATGAAGACAAGGAAAAATATAAAGTGGCAAAGAAAGCAGCCCGAAGGACGGTAGCTATTGAAAGAGATAAGGCTGAACAGGACCTGTATGCTCGCCTAGAATTAGCAACGGAAAATGAAATATACAAAATCGCGAAACACGGAGATACCAATACAAAAGATTTCGTAACCACTAAATATATCAAAAATTCAGAGGGTGTACTTCTCACAGCGGATAAGGACATATGTGATAGATGGCTTGAATACTACAACAAACTATTTAACGAGGAATTCCCACGCCAGCCCGAAACCGAAGAACTAATAACTCGAGGACCAGTAAATGAAATTACACCAATGGAAGTTAAGAAGGCTATAACTAAAATGAAAAACCGAAAAGCATGCGGCCCGGACGAAATACCGGCTGAACTTTGGAAGGCACTAAAAGCGGATGGAGAGGTATGGCTTGCAAACTTGTTTAATAACATCTTATCAAGTGAAAAAATGCCAGATTCCTGGAGAAAAAGTATCCTTGTGCCATTCTATAAAAATAAAGGCGACGTCCGCGATTGTGGAAATTATCGTGGAATCAAACTAACATCACATACCCTTAAGATCTGGGAGAGAGTCCTGAGTGAGCGCCTTAAAAATCATATCATGCTAACGGAAAATCAGTTCGGATTCACTGCTGGAAAGGGAACAACCGATGCAATACATGCTATCAGAATACTTATGGAGAAGGCCCGAGTAAATAGACAGAATCTATGGCTGGTGTTTATTGACCTGGAAAAGGCGTTTGATCGAGTACCAAGGACATTAATATGGCAGGCTTTGAGGGCACATAAAGTCCCCGAATACTACATTCAACTTATTAAGGACATGTACAACAATGTCGAAACGTATGTCAGAACACCAGCGGGATTATCCAAAGATTTTAATATTACAGTGGGTGTCCATCAAGGCAGTGCTCTGAGTCCCCTGCTTTTTAACACCGTCATAAACTATCTTACTGCAAAAATTCAGCAACCAATTCCGTGGAATCTTTTGTACGCCGATGATGTGGCTCTAATATCCGATGACCTTCAAGAAATCCAGAAATGTTTAGAGCAGTGGAGAATGTCTCTAGAACAGAATGGTCTACGCATTAGTAGAACAAAAACAGAATATATGTTCTGTAATTTTAACCCAAATGCAACCATCAGTGCCGATATCAAGATTGATAACACAACCCTGCCCAGAGTAAAAACCTTCAAGTACCTAGGATCAGTACTTTCAGAAGATGGATCTATTGAAGCGGATATATCGCACAGAATAATGTCGGGCTGGACTAAGTGGCGCACGCTGACTGGAGTTTTATGTGATAGGAAAATGCCTATAAAAACTAAAGGTAAGGTCTACAAGACAGCTGTTAGACCGGCACTCCTGTATGGCAGTGAAGCCTGGGCAATGAAAAAGACTCATGAACAGAAACTACACACAACAGAAATGCGTATGCTGAGATGGGCAGGAGGAGTCACACTGAAAGATAAGGTCCGAAATGAGTATGTGAGAGGAAGCTTTAAGGTTGCACAAATAGCAGACAAGGTAAAAGAGTCCAGACTAAGATGGTACGGTCACGTGCTTAGAAGACCGGAAGACCATGTCGTGAAGAAGTGTCTTTCCATGGCTGAAAAGAAGAAGGGGAGAGGAAGACCCCAAACCACATGGCGGACGAATGTCCTTAAGGATATGAAGGAGATAGGCCTTAGGGAAGAAGATGCGGAAAACCGAAGCAAATGGCGCCGCGTGATTGGGAAAGCCGACCCCGTGTAACGGGACAAGGCGAGGCCAAAGAAGAAGAAAAGAAGAAGATACGAAACCGTCAAACATCTGTTTAGTTTGTTACGAATTTATAATAGCGACATTAAAGGAAGCCACTCTTTATATATTATTTGATAATGAGGGTGGTGTGCATTTTGTTTATTAGAGTTGCCCGCAAACTGAGTGCAAAATGTAGATAAAATGTCCTATTATCAATAAACAACTAATATTGAATAAAAATATACCGCAAACTAATCAATTAAATAGTTAGACAATAGAAGCCACAATAGATAGTGGTTTTCTGTTTCTTGATTTGTATCATACTTTTCGTGATAACTTCGGAAACCCAACGTATCCGCATCAGATTTTATAACTGTTATTTATGAATATCTAAGCTATAAAACAACTACAAATGTAAAGTGTCGGGAGTTGTCGGTAACTGTCAAAAGCCTCGATGAAGTTGAAAAAAATGTCCTTGAAAAAAAAATTTTTTTTCATCGACATATAAAAATAAAACCTACAATATTATAATTACTTTAAAATCTACATACAATGGGCTTTTTAGAATTGTATAACATTTTATAACAATACCCAAAAAAAATTGAATTTTAAAGTATTGAAGCGAACAAACCTGAAATAGGCATTCTTAAGAATTACACTTTGTGGTATTAACAAATATATTCCAAATGTAATTCATACCAAATCACTACATTATATTAAAGTTTCATTCTTATACTATTCAATAAACTTTTAAAAGTGCGTAAATAACGATATCAGTAAAAACAATTTTTGATATGCCGTTGATCTACCGTTTTCCATAGTGCCGTAGGTACGTCTGTCCGGTGGCAACGGCCGGCAGGAACGGAGCGGGCCTTTATAATAATATTTCAAATAAAGATGTCCTGCAGTATAGTCTTATCAAAGTTTAAGAAAACCCGAAAGGAACTTCATTCCGACCGGGGGTCCATGAGGGGTGCGCGTGCGTGCGTGTGTCGCGAGGCCCTTTACAAACATTCAAAAAAGGAAGTTTTCCTTTTTTGAATGTTTGTAAAGGGCCTCAAGGGCTAAATGTTTGTAAAAAACACAAGCTTACCAGAACAACTATTTGTGAATCACACAAATTTATTTATTGTGTGGGACTCAAATTCAGGGGAGTTTGTACTGTGGGTTGAGCAGAGGCGAGACCTCGTGGCGGCCATCGGAGTGGGAGTTCTCTCGCTCGATAGCCTGATTGCGGCCATCGTGCGGAGCGAGAGTGCGTGGAACTCTGCCGTCTCCTTCTGCGAGCAAGTTATGCTCGCGAAGGTGACGGCGGAGCGGGACCGGGAGAGGTTTAGAACTCTCCCGGCCCGCCAGGCCCGGGAACGGGCCAGGTACCGCAGGCGACTCAGGCGCCGGAGGTCGCAGAACGACCTCCGTCCTCCATAAGCGCATGCCTGGGGGTGACAGGTGAGGCCATCTGTCACCCTAGCAGAAGCAGGCCGGGGTGGCGGCGAGCGCGTTGCGAAGCACGCTCGCTTCCAGGGAGCAGAGGGAACATGGGGTTCCCACACGGGGGGGTTGTCTACTTGTTGTACTCGTTCCCCGGCTATTAGTACCCGAGACGGCGTGCGGTTTTAGTCGGTTCGTGTCCGACATGCCACCAATAGGTGATATCCGAGGGGATTTCCGCACGGAAAAACAAAAAAAAAGGGGAGTTTGTACTACGCTAGGGATCGTAGTGGTGAACGCTGCCACTTCCACAACTTAGTACATTAATCAAAATTCACTATACTTGTTTGCGTATATAAAACATCGTGTCGTGTCTTCTCTCATCTAACAGCTCGTTTATTCTGAGCTACCACTAGCTTGCTACATTTTACTAGTCTGTGGCTACCACTCAGGTAATAGTGAACTTTAGATCAATGATAAGGTACAGGACTGTATGGCATACTGTTCTAACTTAAGATCGATAAAACCCCTACATTTAATGTTACAGACATGTAACATTAAATGTAGGGGTTTTATCAAGACTGTAGCTAATTCCGAGCGTAGAATCAGGTCACAAAAAGGAATTGTCATTTCAACTTAACCACACAATAGCTAAAAGAATTGTCACCCACGGTAATTAAAAGTCTCAAAATATTCAAAACACTTTATTACATTCCTTGACATATATTCATTAATTAATAAAAACAAGCATAATATTATATATAAATTAAATCTTTTTGACATCATTTCAATACTTCGTATGTGAAAACATCTTTTAATCGTTCGACTAAGACGGTCTCGTAAAAGGCAGCGCCTGGCATGATCACTCCTCCTCTGAAAAAGAAACGAAATACATCGCTTTAAAAATATAATAATATACTTTTCTAAAATGCGATTCTTTTAATGTTTTTTAGAGGTATCATTGTATATAAAGGAGAAGAATAAACTTACGTTGGCATATTCCATCGTTCTTTTATTACTGTGATAGCACTCATGATAACAGCAAAACCTGTTGCATCATACGGATCCTTGCCGGACACCTGGCAAATAAATAAATATTAAAGCACAATATAAGCAAATGATTTAAAATATCTATTTTTGAAAAATTGCCTTTTAAATATCTCTAGAAATTTACTCGTAAATCAAAATCTACCCTAACTTAAAAAAAATATAGATAAGAACATTTAATATCCATATATTATATGATAAGAGGGTTAAATGTAATACACAAGTAAAGAAATATTTTGCAAAGTGCATTTTAATTTATAGTCGAGTTTTTGTTAACTTTGTGTTATTTTTGAATTAAATGATAAAAATTATAACATCAAATCAAGTATAGTTCAAGGTTATAGACTTATTTATTATTCTTAGCAAAGGCACTCAATATTGTAAACTATAGGTGTGTGATTAAATTATCGAGGTAATGTTCCTAAACAAAAGAGAAATTGATTGCTAGGCTATTACGGTAATACATTTTATTTCTGGAAGAAAAGTTTCTACTGCTCACATACTCGTATGTATAATACATACTACTAGCTGACCCGGCAAACGTTGTATTGCAAAAAAAAAATAATTAGGGATTGGTCACCCTTACCATTTAGGGGTATGAAAAATAGATGTTGGCCGATTCTCAGACCTACCCGATGTGCACACAAAATTTCATGAGAATCGGTCAAGCCGTTTCGGAGGAGTACGGGAACGAACATTGTGACACGAGAATTTTATATTTAAGATTATAATATTAAAAAAATAATAATATTTAATTAAATTAATTATTATAAATGCAGTTCAATGTTACTTTTATATAAAAGTATAACAAAATTTCAAGAACCTAACTTTCAATGCAATTGTTAATACTAGTGTGAAGTAATTATTATTTCACTATAGGTTTTTTTTTAAATTAAGAGAGTTTCAGCAGCTTTTTGCGTTAATGAGCCAGTCAGTCAGCTATAGAGTAATTATCCTATGTGGTTGTCCACGTGTCAAATACAGATTTCAACTAACACGGAAGTCAATCCACCAATTCTCACAAATACTGACCTTCAAAAGTGTATAATATTTTGTATAATAAATTAATAATGGTGTAACAATAAATGTAAAATACGCACGCATTTAGGTTTTAATTATTTTAAAATAATAATTATGTAGCTATTGTACAAAATGATTTGGGACGTCTCCTTACGGTAAAAAGTTTTCATAAGATAGAACATTCCAGGAACAAAAATTGTTGTTAGTTCTATTACTTAACGTATGTATTATGAAAAAGAGATTTACGTTTAAAGTCAAATGTGTTTATTGAAAATATGACACGAAAGTTATTAGCTATAGCATTCACGAAAACCAGTGTAGTTGTTAGGGATATGAAGGGATACGAAAAATGGAAGGCGTAGGTTCCCACCACTGGGATCACAGTTACTGTTACTGGTTAACCAAAATAATTATATTTAAAAACATATTTTCATACCTTGACTGAGATTGTTTTCGTTGGTTCCCAATTCTGATCACCTGTTTCCCACCCTTTGCCATTTAATAGAAAACTAAATTTCATTTTTTGTGCTATTTCATGTGTAGGTCCCTTTTCTGATATTAAACCGAATGTGAAAACTCGTGGATAATTTATTAACAATTTAGTAAAACACTTAAAATAACACAAGTAGTAGAAAATATACATTGCAGGTATTACTAAAAACTGGTACCACTTTTCACAGGTGGTGTATGCATTGAAGTGAAATGGTTTTTTTCCACTTTCTTCATATAAATGTTTCTGGGACATGAGCACGGTATCGTTTTCTACTCCAGGCCATGGAAACCAAAGTTGGGCGTTGTTGCGGAAGAAAAATGGTCTGGAACATATAATCGTTTCCGTAGGTTATTTTATCTATATCGATACAAGTCTGGTGATTCTGGAGATATTATGAAATCACCAACCAAAAGAAAAACCTGGCATTGAATTTTACAAGAGTACAATACATTTAAGTAGGTATAATAGATTGTCTATCCTATCATTGCTTCTTTTTGTTAGTAAAAATTACAAATAGGGAATATGCATGTATTTTTTTTATTTATTTTTAACGATTCTACTACTTATTACATTACAAAAATAAATATAACACATCCGAAATATAAACCGTTAAGCAAATTTTTTTAAATTAAAATCACTATCATTTTGGGGGGCAATTTGAACACGTCCATTTTGGCGCGCTTTTTTTGTGACGTCAGATTACACTTGCAGACGAATTCGATGTCAATAACGGAGTAAAGTTCACAAAGTTTCTGAAAGTTAAAAAAGTGAGTGATAAAAATTAACTTATTACCATGGAAAGCCAATAAAAACTTATTATAAATATTGTGCCGTTCCTTTGTGCCCGAATAATATCAAAACTGCACCTGACAAAGTATATTCAGTCATTGTGTTGAGTCTTTCTACACGGGAATTTAATAATTTAATATTGAAAACGTATTAGTTTTCTTTTTTTTTTACATATTACAAATACACACAACTTGTTGACACTCTTGACAGTGTAGGTTGACGTCACGTTTTATTCAACCAATAGCGTTGCGTTTTAGAAATTTGCGAGGGAATCTTAATAAAGCCCATTTTGATGATTAAATTTCACTATTAAATTATAATAAATTTCAAAAATAATTGCATGGGTATCTTTTTTTAGCAATAAAAATTACAAATAAAAATATTTTGTCCATTTTGGTGTCACGTGCATATTCCCTATTATCACCACCTACAATAAGGTTCAACATTTGTACTAAAAATAATTTTAAATTGTGATGTAAGTAATGTTAATATGTAATAGGCATTCCACATTAATTACATACCTTTTAATTTTTTCCTTTTCAGGTTCATTAGCTTTCGGTAAAATTTCTTTTTTTAATGCTAGATACTCTTTAAAAGTTATTAAAACATGAATGAGGGACGTCAAAGTTCCTTTATGTACTAATGCTTTGGGTGGTAGGCTCATCGGTAAGAAATTCTCGACGTAGCATTCCACTGAATGTAGGGTACCTTACACATAATATTTTGTTTCATACAATTAGTTTCAAAAAAATTGTGAATAAAAGGTATTCTTATTAAAAAAATAAATGTTGAAGAGGTTTCATACTACTTTTACCTTTAAACTTTTTATCTAAGTACATCATGGCGGTCTCCATGAGTAAACTAGAATAACCGCAGCATGGTATCACCAGTATATTTGCATTTTTTGCTACTTTGTCATAGTCACGGTACAAGCTTAAAATATGCTGAAAAGAAAATATGCCAGGTTTTTTTTTGTTATTTACTAAAAATATAACTCCCGCACTAGGAAGATATCCTGTGTCGCGGAGGACTTTACAAACATTCATTGAACGGACACAAAGAACACCCAGACTCAGAACAACAATTTGTGAATCACACAAAATGTTGTCCCTTGTGGGGATCGGACCCACAACACTCAGCGCAGTAGGAAGCGGCGAGGTGACCGCTTAAACCATTACGCTACGCTATGATGAAGTACTATGCGAGTCAGGGAATAGTATATTGGATATATTAATATGAGAAGTGGCTATATAATTTTGATACGGGCAATTTAGCGATCAATTAGTGTTATATACGAGTAGAACGGGGGGTGACAGATGCCGACGCGACGCGCTCTAGAGCGCCATTGGAGGCAGGGAGGTGAAACCGTGGTCACCACACAACAGGGGACCGTAAGCCGTAAATGACTCAGGGTATCCCGAGTCATTCTAGGTTAGACATTGTTGCCCGGCTACTGCCTGAGAAGGCGCCCGAAGGATGCTTTGGTATGAAGCATCTCGCAGGAAGCCCAGCCACTCAAGCCAGTGCTGACTGACGTCGCGACACGGTACAGCTTGGTAAAGGAATTTATTTCTGATCAAGTTGTTTTTATCTACATTTCAATGTGTTTAGAATTCTTATTACTTTTCTTTTACTTTTTCGAAACCAGGGTCCCACGAGCCACCTAGGTCATAGGATTATGACAGCTACACTAATTGAAATAGGGTTTAAAGCGGATGTGTCAGTGTTGACGGCAAATGGGGTGCAGCCTTGACAGGGCGCGGGGGCGAAGGAGGAAGTACGCACGCCTAACTCACACTGAGTGTGGCAAGATAGAAAGCTGCACGTGCGTATGTACGTCTACGTTTCAACTCAATAAATAAGTTGATGAGTTCACCATTTTTACATCTTGTTCTCCACACATTATATACCCAGAATTATTTTAATATATAAGTTTGTATTTGTCTCTCTTCATCTTCAGCAAGAACTGCTAATAATACTAAATCCCAGTCAATCAGAACGACGCAACCAACTTTGTATCCGCGCAGAGCAAAGCTGGTACTGGCTCTCGCTCTTGACTCCGGGAGAGGGGGGAGGGAGGAGTCACAATCCTGTGACCTATGTGGCTCGCGGGATGCGGTAGCATAATAATCCGTAGAATAAAACCGCATGACACGACATACTGTGGTATCAAGCGGAATGCCACGACGTTCTGAGGCATAATTGTATAGAAATTAAGTAGTAGTATGATTTCTAAATTCATTGCAATAAGAATAAAAAGAACTTGATCAGAAATAAAACTTGTATACAGCCCATCGGCTATCCGGTGGAGGATATCCGAAGGACGATTTCCGCACGGAAAATCTGCATTGCACGCGGGCGCTCAAACAGCTAGCGGCGGCCCTGGTTGTGAGATTAGTAGTAGATCGGAACTGGATTTGAACGAATTTTTATTACGAGAATTGACCTTCAGGCCAGTCGCCGAAGCACTGTGCCGCTGTTAGTAAGTAAATTTGAATATTGGAGGGAATTGTTGTCACATGTTACGAAAAATGCTATTGGTCAATCAGAACACTCGTTTCTGTTTGCTAGCATGTTGATACTTGATTATTGTTTGTCACTTAGACCATGCTGTTCATTAAAACCTTAATATTAAAACTCAGTGTTTAAAACAGTTTGTGTGTGTCATAACTTAAAAACCTTAACAGCCGCCAGTTGTAAATAGTAAAACAAAAACAACTTACAAATATTTCCGACGATATATCGACGTAATGCGTTCCTGTTTCGATACAGACTTTTACGATCTTTGGGCTTAGGATAATATTGACGCCACTACAATTTATAACAACTTTGGTGACTCTTAACATGTTCTTCAAAGATTCTTCATTGTTAGCATCACACTCTATTACCGGTACGTTTTTAATATCAAAACCTGGAATGATAGATTAAGTATCTATTTGACAATTATTCCTAGCCTACTTAGGTTTTCTTAGTTTTGTACTGAAGAACTTATTACTTGAATACATCGAAAGTTATTTGTTATTCAATGAAGCAGATAATTTTGGTCAAAGTCCCGTGTAGGTACATATTACTTATTACATTTTAACGACTTTTACTTTGATGAGAGCTGGAAACGCGGTTTGTTTGATTCTGGCCATTCCTTACAGTTTAAAGTGCGTTTATTGTCACTAATCTGCTCCTAAGGAGCGTAACGTGATGGTTTTAGACTTACAATATTCCCCAGTTATTTTATAAGCCTTACTAAACAACTTTGGCGTTGGCGCAATACGGTACTGTGGTCCATACATTCATGGTCATTCTCTTTTAATACAAAAGCAATTATTTAGGTCGAAGCGATAAAAATTGGCATGTTTAAATAAAAAAATAAATGAAATCTTTAGTTTTGATATGCAATATTAGTAAATAAAAAGTTTTTTTTTTGTAATTTACAACAGTGACAATGTCGATAGAATTGTAACCTTTTATGAATAGTGCATATTCAATTGGGACAATAAAAGCTTTTTTAAATACTGAAACTGTAGGTATATTAACCAAATACCCGTCAAACAATCGTAACAAAACATTTCCCCCTGAGATGATCATTATCTAAGAGTATTTAAAATATACATTTTATTATGTACATGTATGTGTTTTATACGACAACAGTGCATTATTTTTAAACATTTTACAATATTTTTACTGCGGCTACAGTGTTTTTTTAAATAAGGAATGAACACAAACTTACATTTAGGTGCTAATGGTAATAAAATACTTAATAGATGTAAAATATTTATGAAAAGTAGGTAACCTTAAAATCTTGGCTCACATAATTTATGGAGGGTAGTGGGAAGGAGCACCGTCTCTTTTGGACAGCAAACCGAAAAAATAACCAGCAAAAAGCATCAACTGATAGTTCTAAAATGGATCAGAATGGTTCTAATATGGCCAAAGATAATGACATGATATTCCTTACGTTCTATGCTATCCTCCAGTCACTCTAAAAGTTCTGTTCCGTGTAAAAATAAATTGCAATATCTTTCACTTTCACTAACTTTCACAATTTGTTATCAAAGTAAATCATGTCTGAATTTTCAAGTTATTATCACATAGCGAAGAAATGTAGTTACCTGCATTATGTATTTCTGTAGTCAACATTTCTAGCTTTTCCTTGGAACGTCCTGCAATACCCCATTTAATATCTAAGTATTTCTCCTTTGTTAAACGAGCTAATTGTAGTACAGTAAATTTTCCAGTAAAACCTGTTGCACCAAAAACTATGATATCAACACTTTTTTTCATTTTGTAACGATATTACTTTTCGTTTGCGTGGCTGCGTATACAATACTCGAATGCGCGTCTGTTGCGATGCACGGTCAACTGTCTTATGAAGTGCTTATGAATAAGACAGTTGTCTTCTATTCTATTTTTCTCTATGGCAAACGATGCCGATATGTCGACAATTCTGCCAATGTCAGTCGTGCGCTGAAATGTAGGTATGTGATATGAGAACGAATACCAGGTATTCCTATATATATAGGGATGTGGTAGCGTCAGTAATGCATTGGTTCGTCACATATGGCTCTATATGTGACGAACCAATGCATTACTGCATCATCTGCGTCATCAGCATACTGTAGTACGTGGCAATTGTTGTTAAGGGATGAACTTAAATCTACAGTATATAAGTTGAACAACAAAGGGCTTAGAACGGAGCCTTGCGGTAAGCCTTTCCACACCCTTCGCTGACCGAACTCTTCCCCTTGGGCCCTGAGAGTCAGTGAGTGTGACATAGTGATTTGGCATATGCTATGTAGCATTCTTGCTGAGATTCTCACCTCTTGCAATTTTTGCCTAAAGATCGGAAGAAGGACGTTGTCATAGGCCGAAGTTATGTCGAGGAATGCCGCGACTACCGAGTCATTTCGGGATAGGGATATTCGGATATCTGTGGTGAGTATTGCAACGCTATCCATAGTGCTGAGTTCTTTTCTAAACCCGAATTGGGAGCTTAGAAGTAAATCTCTAGACTCCACGATCCATTCCAACCGATTTTTAAGCAGGTGCTCGAAGATTTTTAGCAGGACTGATGATAGAGCGATTGGTCTGTATCCATTTGGGTCATCTGAATTTTTGGGATTGGAAAAATTGGGATGATTATTTGTTCTTTCTACTGATTGGGGACTGAACCGTTTTCATAGCAATAGTTGTTTAGTAACATATTGCTAACGCATTCGACGTAGGCGCTCCATCAATAGTTTATTATTTTAAGGAAATATTCCCTTGCTTTGATCCCAAAATGGGTAAGGAAGGAGTATGGTATTCCATCAATCCCTGGAGCTGAGTCCTGGACATGATCAAGCACCATATCTAGTTCCTGAGGGGAGAATGACAAGTCAGATGTTTCTAAATCAAAGCTAGGTGGCACACAGTCACTCTCTTCTATAGAGGGTACGTAAGAAGGAGCTATTTTATCAAAAAACAGTTCACCCTATTCGTTTTTTCTGTCGTAGCAGCCTTTTGCACTTAGCAATAGGTGGTATCCGAGGGGATTTCCGCACGGAAAAACAAAAAAAAAGGGGAGTTTGTACTACGCTAGGGATCGTAGTGGTGAACGCTGCCACTTCCACAACTTAGTACATTAATCAAAATTCACTATACTTGTTTGCGTATATAAAACATCGTGTCGTGTCTTCTCTCATCTGACAGCTCGTTTATTCTGAGCTACCACTAGCTTGCTACATTTTACTAGTCTGTGGCTACCACTCAGGTAATAGTGAACTTTAGATCAATGATAAGGTACAGGACTGTATGGCATACTGTTCTAACTTGAGATCGATAAAACCCCTACATTTAATGTTACAGACACGTAACAGTAAATGTAGGGGTTTTATCAAGACTGTAGCTAATTCCGAGCGTAGAATCAGGTCACAAAAAGGAATTGTCATTTCACTTAACCACACAATAGCTAAAAGAATTGTCACCCACGGTAATTAAAAGTCTCAAAATATTCAAAACACTTTATTACATTCCTTGACATATATTCATTAATTAATAAAAACAAGCATAATATTATGTATAAATTAAATCTTTTTGGCCTCATTTCAATACTTCGTACGTGAAAACATCTTTTAATCGATCGACTAAGTCGGTCTCGTAAAAGGCAGCGCCTGGCATGATCACTCCTCCTCTGAAAAAGAAACGAAATACATCGCTCTAAAAATATAATAATATACTTTTCTAAAATGCGATTATTTTAATGTTTTTTAGAGGTATCATTGTATATAAAAGAGAAGAATAAACTTACGTTGGCATATTCCATCTTTCTTTTATTACTGTGATAGCACTCATGATAACAGCAAAAACTGTTGCATCATACGGATCCTTGCCGGACACCTGGCAAATAAATAAATAAATATTAAAGCACAGGCAAATGATTTAAAATATCTATTTTTGAAAAATTGCCTTTAAAATAATAATAATAAACCTCACACATCTCACACACATCTTCTTACATTTCATACATTACATACTTCTTACATTGTCGAGTTTTTCTTTCATGAAAGCTTATGTCGGTAAATAAATCTCCATCTTCGACATCGCGGTGGGCCATTGCCTCCAATTGGCTAAATTGTGACGGGGGGGAGGGGCAAAGGAGAAGCGGGGGCCGACCACAATAACAGTAAATACAATTAAAGATATATTCCAAGGTCTTAACAACAGTAGCACATAAACCCGTACAGCCCGTCGGCTCGAGCGAGAATAACCGATTACTCGAAATGCAGCTCGTCCTTATAGGATGCTTCGCTCGTGCACGTGTTTAAAGTTGTTAGGTTAAGTGTTGTATTTTCTTGGTGTTTTAGATAATACGATTCTTTTGGTTATTACTTACTAATAACTATTAAAACTTGAATGAGAATCTAATTTAAATCAATCATATTTTTTTGATTGATCAATCAAATTATTATTATTATTTCATAGAAACCTTGACCTGACAATAACGTACAAAATACAAAATCTATCTAAAATCTATGTATGTATTAGGTATTTAATGTTGCATTTAGTTATTAATGTGATGTATAAACTTGTGTTATATTATAGTTTATTTACATGGTATTCGATTATTTCGGTATAATTTTATTTCTGTATATATTCAGTTGTATATTCTATTTCTGTATATTTTCTTAAATTTACTCTGTACACACGACTCTCTTTTGTTGTGTTATTCTCTCTTTACTCTTAGGTTTGCTGGAATAGAACTCAATTATGGGTTAAGCTCGCCTCAGTGCCCATTATTCTTTAATGTATTTTTTTTATACATGTTTATATTGTGACTCTAAAAATAAATAAATAAATAGATTAAATAAAAAAATAAAACATAACAAAAAAGAATTATCCAATTTAGTGCAGTCATTCAGAAGTTATGCGCGTACATATATTTCGGCGATTCATTTTTATATATGTAGATTATGATAAAAAGCTGAAAGTCTAAAAAATCCACAGATGAGTAAAATGTATAAATGGAGCCAGCCTTTTTATACCAGCGCAATAAGTTTACCATTCCTAATATTAAATCCAAACGTCAGTAACAAGTTTGGAAAGTGATTTGTTCTGTCCCATATCCTGCTTAATACGAGTATAAGATTCACGGCGGATATTTTTTACACATATAGAACCCTAAAATGAATTAGCTCTCTGTGGGACAATTGATTTAAGATCAGATTATTCTTTTTCTTATCTGCCTTTTCTTATCAAACAAACACAAAATAACATCGATGAGATGAGAATGAGGTAATTATTAGATACTATACCTACAATAAAACAGATAAGGAAGTATTTCGAGATCCTTTTCATCTAAGAATGTAAGCCGTAACATCTGTCTTCATACAACAGCTAGCGGATCGTTACGCTACATAAAACTAATTTCCCGTGAAGCCCACAAAACGACACATTTCGAGTGATATATATGTTGTCCCGAAATATGTTTTCTTTACTCCGATGATCTTAAATATTGCAATAATTCTGTCTGTGCTAAAACGGAACGGAACGGAATTATTACAATATCTATAAATTTTAATTGTTTCAATAAAATCTTATATCTATTGTTTCCAAATCTAAATTTAAGAGTTTGAGCCACTGAAAACATGCTATAATTCACTTGATTTTTTTTTTGGATATTCGTAACTTTAAATTAAAATTGCAACTTGCACTTGCTCTTCATTATTTTCGTTTTTACTGCCACCGGTAAATAAGTATAAGCTTTAAAAAACAGTTTTTTCTTAACTGTACTCAATTGTTGCTATATAACTAATTAGTAACATAGCACCGAGTAACAAGCTAAAGTAATCACTTTGCATACCATGTTATCTTAAAATTTAATTAAAAGAAGAATTCTCATACTTTGTTATTTATTAAAATTAACGCTACTGGATAAAAAGTTACGAAGGAATAGGTTATCTTGGTATGGACATGTCATGCGGAGGGATGAGGAAAATATGTTAGGCATCGGAGTTGAAGAGGAAGACCAAAGAAAAGGCAGATGGACTGGATGAGTGAGAATATGGCTAGGAAGGGAGTAAACAGTGCAATGACGAATGATAGAGTAGAATGGAAGAATAATAGATACTGCGCCGACCCCAAATAAATTGGGATAAGGGTAGGCAGATGATGATGATGATGAGCAGGATAATAAAATTTAATATAAAACGTAGGTACATAATTCTAAAAGTTGATGTAGTTTAGCTCAGTTTTGATAAATGTAGTTGACTGAAACATCACACATTTCTTGTGTGTAAAAATAGTTGTGCAACAAATTCTGCAATTAAATAACAATATTTATGTCTCTACGAGCAATTGACTATCGGTCATTAGTATATTTTTCTCCACTTTTTTTATCCAAGAAAGCTCAACATAACATAAACGGTACATGTTTTTGGCTCTGTATATTCCAGAAACAAATTAGTATTCTGTTACTGCCCCGCAGCTAATTGGATTGTTAGTTAAATTGACGTCCAAACACTGACAGTAGCGTCAGCAAACGCGCTATTAAACAACGTACATGTACATGTGGATGTTGTTTATCACGCGTAATGAACAAAATTCATTATTTTGCACAATTATTGAGAATTACTCTATAGTAACCATTCTAAACTTTAAAGTTTAATCAGATTTAGCTGCGATTAAACAAGGTTTTGTTTTGTTGATCGTACACCATCAAAGCTCAGACAGAGCTTTCAGTTTTTAAGTGGATACAATCTAGAAGTCAGCGGTTAAAATGTAAATTACTTCATGTAAGTTTTGTA